TAAGAGTTGGATATTATTCAGTAAAGTTCTTCCAACAAGTTTATGACGTGAGTTTAAGCTACACTCATATAAACAAAACAATGTGAAACTAAACCAAAGAAGATGAATATTGTTGTTGAAGCAACGGTAATTTTGCAGCACCATCTCCAAGTCATATTCTAGACTCTAAGTCTTGGTACCATGCCTTTTAGGCTTTTGAACATATATCATGGAACAAGCGATAAAAAATTGAAGAAATAAAGATGTTGAAAAATGAAGAAATAAATATGAGAAAATTTTGAATATAGGGAGAAACATTAGAAAAATGGTAAGAATTAATAGCTAGTTCAAACATGAAATAGAAACTATTTTGAATAAAGTAAGAAATTAAAAAAATTCATAATAAAACAACAAAAATAACAAGATTTGTGTCATTTGATGGAAGCAGCTATATGAATTGCACCACATGCTTTATTAACAACTAAGCCTTTAAATATATTAAATTATTAATAATAGAACAAAATATAAAAGAAACCAAAGTTAAAATATAAAAGATGGATATTACTAAGTAAAGTTCTTCCTACGAGTTTATGAATGAGTTTAAACTACACTCACATAAACAAAACAATGTAAAATTAAACCAAAGAAGATGAATATTGTCGTTGAAGCAATGGTAATTTTGCAGCACCATGTCCACAAGGACGAAGTGTATCTGAGTAGGCAGTGAAACGTGTTGCATCCTGTCCTAAACCATGTCCACAAATTTCTTCAAGCTTCATATAAATTTCCTGCCTCAATCCATATCCATAAATCTTTTTCTCTGTAGTGAAATCAATCGATCTCCATTCATAACAGTGAATCCCGTTACAATAATAGGATCTTCTTCTTTCATACCAATTGCCTTCACCCTTATTTTCAAAATCTTTCTCCATTTGTTAACCTCATAATCAGTTAAAACCCAGACAGTAAAAACTTTCTTCCTCAATCTCACCAAACAAATTGACTGATCTGAACTCGATGATTTCCCCCATTTATAAATGCCCATCTGACAGGTCAAGTCATGGGAGCCGGCTCTGGCCTCTTTAGGGATTCTAAGCATTCTTGAGCTTCCATCTTCAATGTTGTAAGCCATTATATATGGTCTGAAATGAGGGCACTTGTTGCAGAGAAAAGGAAAGCAATCTGATATGAAGTGGAAGGCTTTTCTATGATAAACATGCATGTCGAATCTCAACGGCCTGCAACCAGTGAAGAAGCTTGCTTCAATTGCCTTCCATGCACCTTCCTTTATAGAGTAAAATTTCAAATCATGACATTGAGAAGCCCACTCATCTTGAGCTTCAAATAGAAGTAGCATGAAATCATTTGAGTCTTCAGTGTTGCACTCTAAAACGAGTTTAAGATCAGCATCTGGGTATTCTTTGAGAAAGTCTGGCGTTGGAACAGGAAGCCATGATTGTGTTATTGGGTTGCAAATGAATAGCTCTTTATCACTGCGAGCAAGAATCAAGCCCTTGCTTGAAGCAACAATCCTACAAGATGGATAGTATTCCAAAATTGTAAGAATTCATGAGAAACACCAGAGATTGGGTTCTTTGAATGTAGTTGATGGAACTCGATTTCTGCACCATATCTTTGAACTGAGTTTGGTTGCAGAAAGAAACAAGAGTCATCCCTTAGCAAGGCATTTTGGGATTGCTTCTGGATGAAATATGTGTCCTCTGAAGAAACAGTGTTGTAGAATTTGTTGACGCATTTGAATTTGCAGACAGATTTTGCAGGTAACCATGAGAAGATCTCAAGCATCATATCATCAGGCATATCCATGACTGCTGAATCAAGCACATGAATAAAAGTTAACAAGTTTTGAAAAAGGAAGGGAAGATGATAATCAAAAACTCAGATGAATGAGAGAAATTTTTGGCCTCTAAAATTTGATTTGGTACTGTGATTTGTATCTCGGTTCTCGCGTGTGTGCATGTAAGTGACTCCTATAACTGTTCCTAACAAAAGCGTGAAGCTAGTTTTGAGATAACGAAAAGGAAATTAAAATAATTCGTATTAATTAGTCACTTGTGTTCAAGAATCAAGATAGATTAGAAATAGAATCATTTGATCGATGGAAACGAATTGATTAGGACTTGTTTGATTTTGTTTTTAAAAACTATTTTACAAATCAATTTTTAAAAATTATTTTTAAAAATAAAAAAAGAAAATCTGTTTGATTATATAATTTAAAAAAAAATTTGAAGTTATAAAATTATCTGATAGTATGGGTCGTCGCCAATGATTTAAGAAAAATATATGATAGTAGTTGACCATAATTAAAGGTAATCTACATAATCAAATATAGCGAGCTTTAAGAAAAATATATTAAAAAACAGATAAAGTTTTTATTTAAAAAACAAAAAATTGAAAAATTTCAAAAATATTTAAATCCAAGACACTTATCTAAACGATTTTTTTTATTTATTTTTTTTTAAAATAGAAATAATAAAACATTTAAAAACTTATTCAATAAAATTAATAAATCACTTTGTTTGGAGATACTGGTTAAAACATTTTTTTCTTTACCAACTAACTTAAAACTAAAATTTAGGAGTCATTCATGCGCCCATTGCAATTTTTTCCTCTTTCGGAATCGAACGCACGTCTTTCTCAATATGAGATGAGTGGACACGTCACCGGGCCACTGGTGTGAATGGAAGACGACTTTAACAGGTAAACTATAATCTTTTCTATAAAAATACAATATTTACAACCTATGAATGAGTAATATAACTTACCTTAGGGTGATGAGTCAGAAAATATGTGTTATATGAACAAGATAGTAGTCTGCAAATAATTTTCCCCCAACAAAGTAAGAAGCCTTTTGTGATCGCAAGCCTCAAATTTGTTTCAAATATGAGTCTGTGCGATGAGAATTCATGATATATTTATAGCCATGAATTGCTTAACTTGATAATCTTCTTATTAAAAAAATACTACTTAATAACGATTTTTTTGGGTCCTAAAAATATCTGATAAGGATTCTTTTCTTAGACGATTATGGTTATTTTATTTCAAAATGGAATAAATTTAAATTTAACATGAGTAGTCAATAGATAAGAAATATATCATTATCTTACCAAATTTAAGATATTTCAAAAATAAAAGAAATGTAATTTTATTGCATTATCATATTATAACCTAAAAAAAATACTTGTTTGACTCCTGATCAGGTCTTTTTTTAAATTTAAAATAATAGATAAGAAATATATTTATCACTATTTTCATTAAATTTAAAATATCTTGAACTAATAGAAATACAAATTTAATTAAAGATAATATTATAACCTAAAAATACTAGTTTATCTGCTAATGCAGGCTTGCACTCTTTCCCTCCTCGAATCTAAATTTTTATTCTGTTTAATTTAAAATTGGGATGATATAATTTTAGTCCTTTAATTAACTTTTTTTCTCAATTGTTTCTAAATTTTAAAACAATGTAACTTAATTTGTGTAACTTATTGATTTAAAAAATTATAAAAATTAAGTTATACTGAATCAAGAAAGTATAAAATCAAGTTGTTTTAATTTTTTTTTTTTACCCACAATTAAGTTATTTAAAGTTAACTGTTCTAGTTTAAAGTTCAAAGACTATATCAATAATTAAAAAAAAATCAAGGATTAAAATTTATTTTGTAATAGTTTTTGTTTTTCATATTGATATTTTTAAATCTTTTTTCGATTTTTAATAGTTATACAATTATTAAGATGTTGACTAAAATTATGTTCTTACAAATCAATAAACATTTATTTATTTGCTTTTCTATAAATATTTGCTAGAATTAAATGTAGATCAAGATTCAAGATTATAAGATAAGTTAAAACAAAGTATTAAGATTATAAATTAAAGAGATAATTGTATTAAACTATAATATTTGTATAAAATATATTAATTAAGTCAGCTAAGTAAGTCATGCACCATATATTTTATACTCACAAAATTTTTCCTTTTTTCTTTTTCAATTTTTTTTAAAAAACAGTGTGAGTTAAATGACCCAATCCTCACTTATCAAGGTTAATTTATGTAGTTCATAGATTATATAGTCTAAGTCAGGAAAAATTAATTTTTCTTTGGGCCAACTTTTTCCCAACCTGATCTGAGTGGCAAAAAATCGAAGAAATAAAGGTGTTGAAAAATGAAGAAATAAATATAAGAAAATTTTGAATATAGGGAGAAAACATTAGAAAAATGATAAGAAATTGATGACCGAAACAGAATTATTTTAAACAAAGGAAGACAATTAGGAAAATGTCATAATAAATAACAATAATAAGCTTTTTCTCATTTGATGGAGCCAACTATATAAATTATACGATTAACAATCAAGCCTTTAAATGTATTGAATTTTTATAATAATAGAACAAAACATAAAAGAAACCAAAATTAAAATATAAAATGGACATTATTAAGTAAAGTTCTTCCTACAAGTTTATGACATGAGTTTAGATACACTCATATAAACGAAACAATATGACATTAAACCAAAAGAAGATGAATATTGTTGTTGAAGCAATGGTAATTTTGCAGCACCATCTCCACAAGGACAAAGTGTATCTGAGTAGGCAGTGAAACGTGTTTCATCTCGTCCAAAACCATGTTCACAAATTTCTTCAAGCTTCATATAAATTTCCTGCCTCAATCCATATCCATAAATCTTCTTCTCTGTAGTGAAAATCAATCGATCCCCATTCATGACAGTGAATCCCATTACAGTAACAGGATCTTCTTCTTTCATACCCATTGCCTTACCCTTATTTCCAAAATCTTTCTCCACTTGTTAACCTCATAATCAGTTAAAACCCAGACAGTAAAAACATTCTTCCTTAATCTCACCAAACAAATTGACTCATCTGAACTTATTGATTTCCCCATTTATAAATGCCCATTTGGCAGGTCAAGTCACGAGGGTCAACTCTGGCTTCTTTAGGGATTCTAAGTATTCTTGAGCTTCCATCTTCAACGTTGTAAGCCATTATATATTTGTTGCAGAGAAAGGCAGAGAATCTGATATGAAGTGGAGGGCTTTTCTATGATAAACATGCATGTCGAATCTCAACGGTCTGCGTCCAGTGAAGAAACCTGCTTCAATTGCTTTCCACGTGCCTTCCTTTACAGAGTAAAATTTCAAATCATGATATTGAGAAGTCCACTCATCTTGAGCTTGAAATAGAAGTAACGTGAAATCGTTTGAGTCTTGAATGTTGCACTCTAATGCAAGATTAAGAACAGCATCTGGGTATTTTTTCAAAAAGTCTGGAGTGGGAATAGGAAGCCATGATTGTGTTACTGGGTTGCAGATGAATAGCTCTTTATCATTAAGAGCAAGAATCAAGCCCTTGCTTGAAGCAACAATCCTGCGAGCTGGATAATATTCCAAAAATTGTAAGAACTCATGAGAAACACCAGATATTGGGTCCTTTGAATTTAGGTGATGGAACTCAATTTCTGCACTATATCTATGAGCTGAGCTTGGTTGCAGAAAGAAACATGAGTCATCCCTTAGCAAGGCATTCTGGGATTGCTTCTGGATAAAAAATGTGTCCTCTGAAGAAACAGTGCTGTAGAATTTGTTGACGCACTTGAATTTGCAGATAGATTTTGCAGGTAACCATGAGAAGATCTCAAGCATCATCTCATCAGGCATATCCATGACTACCGAATCTAACACATGAATAAAAGTTAACAAGTTTTGAAAAAGGAAGGGAAGATGATAATCAAAAACTCAGATGAATGAGATAAATTTTTGGCCTCTAAAATTTGATTTGGTACTGTGATTTGTATCTCGTTTCTCGCGTGTGTGCATGTAAGTGATTCCTATAACTGTTCCTAACAAAAGCGTGAAGCTAGTTTTGAGAAAACGAAAAGGAAATTAAAATAATTCGTATTAATTAATCACTCGTGTTCAAGAATCAAGATAGATTAGAAATAGGAATCATTTGATGGAAACAAATAGATTAAGGACTTGTTTGATTTTGTTTTCATTTTTTGTTTTTAAAAACTATTTTATAAATCAATTTTTAAAAATAGAAAAAAGAAATTCTGTTTGATTATATAATTTAAAAAATAAATTTAAAGTTATAAAATTAACTGATAGTAGTGCTCGCCGCCAGTGATTAATAATACTGGCATATATATGATAGTAGTTGACCATAATTAAAGGTAATTTACGTAATCAAATATAGCGAGCTTTAAGAAAAATATATAAAATATAATATCACTCTATGATCATTGTGTATGGCAATATAGTTAATATGCGATTTAGAATAAAAAAAGACCATAAAATCACCCAACAAGATTGATCAAGACTCGTCCCCTATCTCATTAACATCTTGAAGGGGGGATGAATCACATTTAGACAACGACAACAAAATAGCCATCGGAGTTCTCGAAGTGTTGCAGCTCCTCATGCATGCGTTGAGACCAGAGTCAGATCGCATACCCAACACAACTCAAGCTCGTGAGTGTACTACTTGATATTGGTTCAAAGCAATCGGTTTGATTGGCAAGATCTGGAGTAGCAGCAGATGGTGACTTCCCATCGCTGACGGCAGATAGATCTTTATGATGGACGACGAGTTTGAGGTGGCAACAATAGAGAAGATAAATGGATGAAAATTTTGGAACTTGCATGCTGAGGAGAAGGGAATGAATTCGAAGGTAGCAAATTTTTTCAATTGTTGTCTCGATTATGGATCAACAGAGGTTGTAATGGAGAGAGTTTCAGCCTGCCTTGTGAATCTAAAACTATGTTACAGAGGGTTTAGAGGCAAACAAGATAGAGAGAATGGAAAGAGGCAAATGATTTTTTATTTGTTTTTTTTTTTGTTTTTAATGCCAAGTGGCTACCACATTGCAAAAGAAGTCAAAGTTATTATCAAACTGTCAATCTTACTAATGGTAAAACAAAATTGCTCCAATTAAAAGATAGTGAAATATTTCACTTCTTCCAAAAACTTTTAGGATATTTTTACCATTTAACTTTATTTGTAATTTATTATTGACTCATATAGCTTTTGCATGTTAGTTTTTATAATAAACACAACTTGTAAATATCAACCAACTTTAAATACTAAATTAGAATGTTTTATTAAATAATGACAATCAAAGTATGAATCTGATTTAGTAGACAATTTTTGATCAAGACCGTGCAATGTATGGGATTAACAATGGTTTTTTAACAATTACATTTACAGCTCCAAATATTAAAATTTTTGCAAATAACTCCAAAAAATTAGTAACATATTGTATACACACGGCTTAAAATTGGAGAAAATTCAAGTAATTTAGCTTATATCCTTGACATACTATTTTACTATTAGAATAAAAATAACTACCTTATATCTACTAATGCAACTTGCATCTTTGTCAATGTTGATTGGCTAGTTTACAATGCTCATTATATATATATATATATATATATATATATATATATATATATATATATATATATATATATATATAAGGTATTCGATTCTCCTTCCTTTGGCTTAATTTTGACTAAATTAATTAATGTGTTCTACACGACATGATGTTGTAGCATTATATCCAAAAAAACAGAAAAGAAAACAATAGTAAGTAACATGCGCTCCTTCTATTTTTATTGACAAATTACATTTTAGAAACTTTTCATGTTTCTATTGGTAAGTTATTCTGTAGAATTCATGAAGCAACTAAAATATCTTCGAACAGTGCTTTTAGTATAGATATTGTTGAATGATTATGTTGAAAAGATTAAAATAATTTAGCAAAAATATATTGGAACCCATGAAAAATTTAATAGTAGGTCATGTTCTTTAATTTAGTTTTTATAGTTTTGTTTCATTGTTTGCAATCCTTTTAGTTAGATTTATATGTAATATTAGTCCTCATAATTTTAAAAAAGGAAAACATAATTTTTGATTTTTTATAGTTTTATTAAGTTTTATTCTTCATCCTTTTAGTTTTTTTAGTATTTTTAATTCTTATAGTTTCAGAAAAATTGGGTTACTTTAGTTTTTCATGTTCATTTAGTTTTTATTTTTTAGTAGATTTAGTTTTTATAGGGACTGAAAATACTAAAAAAATTACAAAAACTAAAAACAAAATATGATGAAATTATATAGACCAAATATTATGTTTTTCTTTTTGAAAATACATATAGAAAATCATGAGCTAATATTGCCAGAGTTAATTTTGCTTACTTGTGATTAACTCCATTAACCCTCTTGACATTAATTTAATTTTACCTTTATCTTCTGCATTCTATTTCACTCAAATTCAAATATACAGGAAAACATTTTTCCCCTTACCTTTTATTTGTAATTGTACTTGTTCAATTTAATTTTATATTGGCATACTCTTATTGCATCGATAAAGGAGTTATCAGGTTTACAATGAAATTAATTTTGAAAGTATGTGATCATGATTTTTATGTGTTTTTGTAAAATTTTAACAATTAACATTACAGATGGATGAAATTAAATATAATGAGAATAACAAAATATTTAAAAAATGATAATAAAATTCTTTTAAAATATATAAGTAATAAGTTGGTCTCTTGAAATATTATAATTCTCCTGAAGTCTTTAGAGATTTTTTTGTCATTAATAAATTTATTTAAATTACTAAATTCTCTTTGTTAAAAATAAATTATTGACAAATTTTGTTTAAATATTCACAACTTTTATTCTTATATTCACAACAATGCAACAGCAAATACAACTTTGCATATTGAATTCTTTATTTGTTGTCACATTGTTATGAATATAAGAAGAAAAGTTATAAATATTTAAACAAAACTTATGAATAATTTATTTTTAACGAGAGCAATTTGGTAATTTAAATAAATTCACTAATGATAAAAAAGTCCTTAAAAACTTCAAAAAAATTATGATATTTTGAGAGTCCAACTTATTATTATATGTTTCAAAGGGATTTTGTTGTCCCTTTTTCAAATATTTATATAACTATAACAACTAAAAATCATAATTAAAGAGCATGCGTTATATTTTTCCTGAAATTTATTATATTTAGTTTAGGTTAAAAATTCATTATATTTAATTAAGATGTTCTTCTCACTCTCTCTCACACACACACACTCTCTCTCTCTCTCTCTCACCATTCGTTTAAAAATATCAGACATTTTTAATTAAATCTCATCCTTCAATAAAATTATTATTTGTCTTTAAATTAACCCAATATTTTCATATTTACCTCTATTTAATAAGGTGTTTTACTCTTAAAAAATGCAAAGTGATCAATTAACAATAAGGCACTTTTGGAAAAATTACATTTTGAAAGATTAAATATGTATTATATTTTTAAACATCAAATCCCTAAAAAAATACCTTATATTTTTAAAGGGAGGGTAGAGGTGGTAATTTGGACAGACCGAGCTTAAAGTATCCCATATTTTTAAAAAAATTTATATAGTCAAGTTCGACCCTAACTTTTTTTGATTGGGTTCAAGCTGACCCATTGGGCTTGGCCAAAATTACCTCCTCTATATACATATAAAGTAGGTAATTCCAGCGATCAGGCATAATTTAGGTCGAACTTAAAGTATCTTATTTTTTTAAAAAAGCTCATATAGTCAAATTTGATTTAAGTTTTTTTGAGTAGGTTCGGGTTGGCCTGAATTACCAGCTCTAAGGGAGGGAGTGTGTATATATATATATATATATTTTCTTATTCTTGATGATTTATGGGCCTCCACTTTCTTTCTTACTAGAGTTGATAATTTAGAAGAGCCGATAATTTAGTCTAAGTTGATGGATTAGCCCAAACTCACTCAAAAAAAAGTTAGAGTCAGGCTTCATTATATACGCTTGTTTAAAGGGATATGATACTTCAAGTTTGATTTGAATAAACCTGACTTAAATTAAGTTCGACCTGAATAAGTTTGACCGTTGAAATTACCTACTCTATATGTATATAGAAGAGGTAATTTTGATCAAACCCAATGAATCAACTTGAACTTGACAAAAAAAAGTTAAAGTATAAACTATATGAATTTTTTAAAATGATAGAATACTTTAAATTTAATCCAAAAAATCACACTTGAATTGAGGTTGGCCTGAATAAATTCAGGTTGCTTGAATTATTGGCTATGTTTCCTTTTTTTTTTTTTTCATCAATTTCCTGACGGAACGCTATTCACTCCACACCCAGAAGGCCCAAGGAAGGGAAATCGATTTTAGAGCCTTTACGCCTCGACCCACTGGCCACAACCACTCGACTAAGTTGCCGGCGAGTTCCTCTTACCGGCTGAGGTGAGTGGATTTCATGGTTCAAATGTTTTGAGATTTTTCGGTGGTTTCTTTCGTCTACAATTCTTTAGCTGAAAATTATTGCCTTCTCCCCTCTTGTTCGCTGAACGTTGGTCCAAGTTAGTGGGTTTTCAGGAGAAAGAAAGGCTCCGTTTTTTTCATATCTGCTATGGCCTTGGGTTTTCATGGAGAGGGGTTCTTATTTGTGGTGATGCAAGATTGATGTTTTTGCGTTTTGTTTCGAAATGGGACAGTGAATTCGATTCACAGGAAGAAAGGCAGGGGAGGAGGTGTTTTAGGGACGTAATTGCTGCCATAATTAGGACCACGTGAACGATATTTTGCTTTCCAATACGTTACTCGAAGTCATCAAGTAGTTCAAACAATTTCTTAATTGTTTGCTTTCATGCACCGATAGAATCTGTAAACACTGTACCACATGGACTACTTGGCCAATAAATCAATTACACTCACTTGCCTCCTATCAGTCCACGCATAATAGAGCAACTTGCTCTGTCCCTGGCCTGAAACCTGATTCTTTGCCATACCTTCCAAATTCCTACAGCATCAGTTTTACGCTTGGAGCTATTTAAAAGATCCTTTGTAAATGAAATTCCTGCTTAATGGAAGAATGAAGTTATACATTTTGGGTTAAATTGAAGGTCGTTAGGAGTTTTCTCGTGTAATTTAAGTTCAGATATGTTTAATTGAATGGAGTAACTCTTTTAATTGGATCTTCACTTGCTAAGCATTGGAGTAGATGTTACTAGATTTTTTTGGCCGAAAATGCTGGATGACATTATCCCAAAATGGCGGTGCCTCGTCCCTGCATGATGATGCATGCTTTGACTTGGGCAAACCAAGGTGCTGGGTCTCAGTGCCCTGCTGAGGCCATAGTGGTTTTGCAGGCGGGTGTGTTTTGACAACATATTGTTTTCCGTTATTATTATCATAATCTAATCTGGGGTAACTGGCTGCATTTTTTCTGCTTGGATCTGAACTTCATTATCTATCATTTTATGCAGGTGGAGGGCAATTGATGGGGACATCAAAGGAAAATTTGCAGCATGTACCTATTTCTTCCAATGATAATGACCATCAGAGCAATGATACGGTGGCTAGCATCTTAAATCACAGGTATACATTGCTTCCACTCCTCCACATGGTTTGGTGGGAATAAGTTTCTTTCATATAATGGTCTTTCTAGAGGGATTGGAGAACTCTTCTATTTTAATATATTTGTTTGTGAAGTTGAGAGGCGGGGAAGCATATAATGGTTTAATAGGGTGAACTTGAGGCTCTTTGGAATAAGGTAGCCAAAGGCAAAAGGCATCCTTGAGGTTTCAAACATGTAAAACGCTTTAGGGAGGTGCTAGAAAGGTGCTCACCCTAGTGAAGTGGGGCGCTACAATGTGAAGAAAAATATGATATGTGGACAAAAAATGCTGATACATGTACATTGAAATAACCTTCATCCATACATATGTACGTAGATATATTTTGAAATTGTTATGACGTATGAATAGAAAATCATAAATGTAGTAGTCATGTCAATCATCCTATTAATAAACAATAAAAGTTAACAACTGAAGTTCACGGCACAACTGGCTGCCCCTCTTTGGGCTCTTTGTTTCTCATATTATTTACATTAGAAAACCCTAAAAACTATTAACTCTATGGTATTAACTCTAAAATTTTCCTATCTCATCTAATATTTAACGCTCAGACTTCCTGTTTTCATTAGAAATCTTTCCTATCTTATCTACATATTTGAAATTTAAGACTTTTCCTATTTTTATTATAAAATTTTCCTTCTCATTAATCATTTAAATATGAAATTTCCATATTCTGATTAATTAAACACTGAAACCTAACAACCCTCAACAAGGAACAAGCCAGCCAATACAGCAGTGTCATTCCTCAAAAAAACCTTCAACTGGCAATATCAGTTATGTGCTGTAAATGCTTTGCCTTATGCCAAGCCAAAGGCATGCCTTTCGGTGCCCAACCCAAAGCCAGCGCTTCTCATAGTACAAATGCTGCAGGCTGCATGGTCCCTTGCTTTAGCACTTTATACATTTTTGGATTATGTGATAAAAGTTGCAAAATTTAGGTTTAGGTTTATGTATTTCGGGCCGTAGATTCAACTAAGTGAATTCGAACTTGGGTAAATTAGCTCACACTCTGGAGGTATCTAAAAGACAGTCCACTTATTGATCATATTTGACTGACTGTATTTGTCATGTAATAAATAAATAAATAATATAGTAAAGGGTTAATAGGTGTAGGCTAGTTACTTAAGGGTGTCAGATATGGGCTATAACAGGGCACCAAAAAGGACGTTGTAATCAGTTTTGGAATAATAGTCGAGTTCCCTCCTGTTTTATTTCCTCTCTCTGTCTCTTCTCTTTTCGTTTCTCTATTTTCTCTCTTCCTTCCCTTTTCTCTAATTCTATGCATCAGATATGTTAATGGGACATTCAGATCAACCTTGGTTGGCATAAATTCTTGTAATGTAGGAAAAATTGATTATTAATACAGTATGACAGAATATGTGCATTTCTGATTGATGATTATGCTTGAGATCTTGTAGAGGTGCTGAATCAGAGCATAATATTTCAAGGGAAGAAATTAAACGTGTATTAGAAGTATTGCATCCACTGGGAGATTCTGGTATGTTTCATTGTATTACCATTTTGTTTTATGGCTTTCTGCAATTTGTCTACTGAGATGTGTGTATTTTCTTTCCTGAATATATGATTGCAAATAGCTGGAGAAACCTTGCTTTCTTTGGGGTGTTGAGGGGACTATACTGTAGCAGAAACCATAAGTAAATTTTCCACAAGGAAAATCTGTCTTTATGTTCGTTGCTCTTAACACAGGCAATCTTACCTGGCAAAATGATATAAATTATGATGTTAAAAATAAGTTAAAAAAGGCTAACTTAATGACTTGTTCACTTACAAAATGGGTCATTTTCTCTTGGTTCCCTTTTAATCTGGGGAGATTTGTTGTTCTAAATTTGCATCTTTTTTCCTTTTTCCTTCCCTTCTTTTGGTTTCTCCTTGCCCCGTTTTTTTTTTTTTCTTTTGACCCTAAGCTCTTTGAGCTTCCCCTTCATTGGTTGCTAAGCCCAGGTCCTAGGTCTTTGAGTCAGCCCGTGCTTTTTCAAAGAACCCTTTATTCTTCTCTTTCATAATTCTTACTTTATCTAACAAAACTCCCATTTCTATGGACAAAATTGCTAGTCCTGTTTTGTCTTTATTTTTAAACCTAAAGGGTTCAATGACAATATATCAATGCCTGGGCTCATGGTTTCATAAATCTACTATTTCATGATGAAGGAATAATGGATAAACTATTTGTTTACATAGTAGGATTTGTTGTGTCTATTGATAAGGTCAATAAGATTTCATCTAGATCTCTCTATATAAAAATAATGCTAATGTAATCAAGGAGGGTTGGGTCTAATGGAAGGGGCTAGTTCTTCACATGTGGCGAAATAAGGTTCGAATCTCCACTAAGAGAGGTGCCCACATTTAATACCCAATTGTGCTTCAAAATGATTGCCTTCAATTGGAGGATACTATGAGTAATGAAAAAAAAATAATGCTCATATAGTCATTTTTCATTGTTTCACGCTTTACTTTCAAATAAACAGGCATGACTGGGATAAGTTGAAGAGCATGCTGTCAGTTTCAGCTGAAGCAGGTATGGGGAGGTATGCTAGCAATTAGGTCTTATATATTTTTTGTGTTAAGTCCCAAAGGCATTAATAGTTTATATTCATAGGTTACATGGGATTTTACTATTATACTTTCTTCATAGTTGTCCTTACACTTTCTGCTTCGTAATTGCCGTACAGGTACTGTCAGAGTACCCTGAAGCAAAAATGACAAGTGAGCAGCAGAGCAGCAATATTTCTTTAAGAGAGTCCTACTCTGATCTAGTAAACAGATTGGATGAAGGTATTTTACCTTATTATGCAAACTTATGGTTCCATGAAAGTGCTAAGAGAAGACATCAATCACATGCCATGTTTGCATGTGCAATCTAAATGTATTTTTTTTATCATTTAAGAAGAAATTAGATTTTCTTTATCACATTGTCCAGTTTCATATGTCCTACACTCGTATTTTAGGACAACATTGTTTTGAAACATCCGTAAAGGATCAAAAAATTACTGATAGGCTAGGGCTCTAAAGGCAAGATGAGTTTCTTGTATCTGAAATGTTTCTCTCAGGTGCTATTATGATCTAATAATTGTGTTTATTAGTTGGTATATAATGGGTACCTGATGGACCTTATTGATGTTAGATGCATGTTCACGGGAAGAGGAAAAGGCCCAAAAATACTAGATGGAAAACTGTTTCAAGGAAAAATTAGTGAGGCCTAAAAATAAAATTAAGAATCAAGTGGCAGGGAATATAGGCTGATAGTGAATTGGGCATAAACAAACTTGGTGTGTATTGTTTTGAGTGGACAAAGAGTGCCCATCAAGGGTAGTAGTTTATCATGGGGAAGGGAAGCTGGAGGAAATTAAGGAATTTCCTTGGAAGAGGTGGAGAGAACCTGTTCTTGAAAGCCAGAGGCTGTGTTTATGGGGCATCATAGTTACCAATTTCCTTTTTTTCTTTGATCCTATCTTTGTTCAAGGAGGTGGATTCTTGATTTTTTTATTCATATGTGTATGTGAACAGAGGAATTTAAAAATATTTGTAAGTGTTTACCAAGGAGACTGAATCTGTTGTTTTAACTTGAAAGGAATGCATTTTAATATATTAATGTGCTCGGTAGATTTCCCTATCATGTCTATCTTGTTATGCTCTTGTTCAATAAATTTTACTGGATACATTTTTGAATTGCAGCTCTTCATTCCTTTTATGAAGGCCCTCCATTTACATTGCAGAGGTTGTGTGAAGTAAGGTGTGCGGTATTATGTTCTGGCAGTAATATTCATGGTGTTTAGTAATTGTTTCTTTTTGTCTTGGAAGCAAACGTTAATAGTTAACCTTTCCTAGCTTGATGTGTCTTCCTTTTATTTTGATACTAACTTTCATATAATATGAAATGAGAGCTGTGTCAACTTCTTAACCTTAGTATCTCCAAATGGCTGTTTCAATGGAGTCTTGGTGATATGCAGTGAGTTTGGATATCTTGTTGCATATTGGCCACTATCCTTTTCTTATACTCTTCATTCTGTCTTGGAGG